GGAGACTTCAACACCCCACTGTCAATATTAGAGAGATCAACAAGAAAGAAAATTAACAAGGATATTCAGGACTTGAACTCAGCTCTGGACCAAGTGGACCCAATAGACATCTACAGAACTCTGCACCTCAAATCAACAGAATATACATTCTTCTCACTGCCACATCGTACTTATTCTAAAATTGACCACACAATTGGAAGTAAAGCAATCCTCGGCAAATGCAAAGAACCAAAATCATAACAGTCTCTCAGACCACAGTGTAATCAAATTAAAACTCAGGATTAAGAAACTCACTCAAAACTGCACAACTACATGGAAACTGAACAACTTGCTCCTGAATGACTACTGGGGTAAATAACAAAACTAAGGCAGAAATAAATAAGTTATTTAAATCCAACGAGAACAAAGACACAATGTATCAGAATCTCTGGGACACAGCTAAAGCAGTGTTTAGAAGGAAATTTATAGCACTAAATGCCCACAACCAGAAAGCTGGAAAGACATCAAATCAACACCCTAACATCACAATTAAAAGATGTAGAAAAGCTGGAGCAAAAAAATTCAAAAGCTAGCAGAAGACAAGAAATAACTAAGATCAGAGCAGAACTGAAGGAGACAGAGACACAAAAAACCCTTCAAAAAATCAATGAATTCAGGAGCTGGTTCTTTGAAAAGATTAACAGAATAGATAGACCACTAGTCAGACTAACAAAAAATAAAAAAAAGAGAGAGAGAAAAATCAGACACAATAAAAAACGATAAAGGGGAGATCACCACTGATCCCACAGAAACACAAACTACCATCAGAGAATACTATAAACACCTCTACGCAAATAAACTAGAAAATCTAGAAGAAATGGATAAATTCCTGGACACATAGACTTCCCAAGGCTAAATCAGGAAGAAGTTGAATCCCTGAATAGACCAATAACAGGCTCTGAAATTGAGGCGATAATTAATAGCTTACCAACCAAAAAAAGCCTGGGACCAGACAAATTCACAACCTAATGCTACCAGAGTTACAAAGAGGAGCTGGTACCATTCCTTCTGAAACTATTTCAATCGATAGAAAAAGAAGGACTCCTCCCTAATTCATTTTATGAGGCCAGCATCATCCTGATACCAAATCCTGGCAGAGACACAACAAAAAAAGAAAATTTCAGGCCACTAAACCTGATGAACATCAACTCAAAAATCCTCAATAAAATACTGGCAAGCCAAATTCAGCAGCACATCAAAGAGCTTATCTACCACAATCAAGTCGGCTTCATCTCTGGGATGCAAAGCTGGTTCAACATATGCAAATCAATAAACATAATCCATCACATAAACAGAACCAATGACAAAAACCACGTGATTTTCTCAATAGAGGCAGAAAAGGCCTTCAATAAAATTCAACAATACTTCATGCTAAACACTCTCAATATACTAGGTATTGATGGAACATATCTCAAAATAATAAGAGCTATTTACGACAGACCCATAGCCAATATCATACAGAATGGGTAAAAGCTGGAAGCATTCCCTTTGAAAACTGGCACAAGACAAGGATTCCCTCTCTCATCACTCCTATTCAACGAAGTATTGGAAGTTCTGGCCAGGGCAATCAGGTAAGAGAAAGAAAGAAAGAAAGGGTATTCAAATAGGAAGATAGGAAGTCAAATTGTCTGTTTGTAGATGACATGATTGTATATTTAGAAAACCCCATTGTCTCAGCCCCAAAACTCCTTAAGCTGATAAGCAACTTCAGCAAAATCTCAGGATACAAAATCAATGTGCAAAAATCACAAGCGCTTTCATACACCAATAACAGAGAGCCAAATCATGAGTGAACTCCCATTCACAACTGATACAAAGAGAATGAAATACCTAAGAATCCAACTTACAAGAGATGTGAAGGACCTCTTCAAGGAGAACTACAAACCACTGCTCAAGTAAGTAAGAGAGGATACAAACAAATGCAAAAACAGTCCATGCTCATGGATAGGAAGAATCAATATTGTGAAAATGGCCATACTGCCCAAAGTAATTTATAGATTCAATGCTATCCCCATCAAGCTACCATTGATTTTTTCCAAAGAATTAGATAAAGCTATTTTAAATTTCATATGGAACCAAAAAAGAGCCCATATAGCCAAGACAATCCTAAGCAAAAAGAACAAAGCTGGAGAGGCATCACGCTACCTGACTTCAAACTATACTACAAGGCTACAGCAACCAAAACAGCATGGTACTGGTACCAAAACAGATATGTAGACTAATGGAACAGAACAGAGGCCTCAGAAATAATGCCCCACATCTGCAACCATCTGATTTTTGACAAACCTGACAAAAACAAGAAATGATTCCCTATTTAATAAATGGTATTGGGAAAACTGGCTAGCCATATACAGAAAACTGAAAGTGGGCCCCTACCTGACACCTTACACAAAAATTAAATCAAGATGGATTAAAGACTTAAACATAAGACCTAATACCATAAAAACCCTAACCTAGGCAATACCCTTAAGGACATAGGCCTGGGCAAACACTTCATGACTAAAACACCAAAAGCAATGACAACAAAACCCAAAATTGACAAATGGGATCTAATTAAACTAAAGCGCTTCTGCACAGCAAAAGACACTATCATCAGAGTGAACAGGCAACCTACAGAATGGGAGAAAATGTTTACAATCTATCCATCTGACAAAGGGCTAATATCCAGAATCTACAAGGAACTTAAACAAATTTACAACAATAACAAAAAAAAAACCATCAAAAAGTGGGTAAAGGATATGAACAGACATTTCTCAAAAGAAGACATTTATGTGGCCAACAACCATATGACAAAAAGCTCATCAACGGTCATTAGAGAAATGCAAATCAAAACTACAATGAGATACCATCAAAGGAGACAAAGAAGGGCATTACATAATGTTAAAGGGATCAATGCAACAAGAAGAGCTAACTATCCTAAATATATATGCACCCAATACAGGAGCACCCAGATTCATAAAGCAAGATATCATCTCACGCCAGCTAGATTTGCGATCATTAAAAAGTCATGAAACAATAGATGATGGAGAGGATATAGAGAAATAGGAACACTTTTACACTGCTGATGGGAGTGTAAATTAGTTCAACCATTGTGGAAGACAGTGTGGCGATTCCTCAAGGATCTAGAACCAGAAACACCATTTGACCCAGTAATCCCATTACTGGGTATACACCCAAAGGATTATAAATCATTCTACTATAAAGACACATGCACATGTATGTTTATTATAGCACTATTCACAATAGCAAAGATTTGGAACCAACCCAAATGTCCATCAATGATAGACTGGATAAAGAAAATGTGGCACATATACACCATGGAATACTATGCAGCCATAAAAAAGGATGAGTTCATATCCTTTGCAGCAACATGGATGAAGCTAGAAACCAACATTCTCAGCAAACTAACACAGGAACAGAAAACCAAACACCGCATGTTCTTGCTCATAAGTGAGAGTTGAACAATGAGAACATATGGACACAGGGAGGGAGAAACATCACACACTGGGGCCTACTGGGGGTTAGGGGGCTAGGGGAAGGATAGCATTAGGAGAAATAACTAATGTAGATGGCTGGTTGATGGGTGCAGCAAACCACCGTGGCACATGTATGTCTATGCAACAAACCTGCACATTCTGCACATGTATCCCAGAACTTAAAGTACAATAATAAAGAAAATATGGTTGTACATACACACAAATGCAATGGAATATTTAAAAAAATAAAAAAGAGGAAGAAATGTGCCAAGTCCAGATCCTGATTCTCCTCCCACAGAATGTATTATAAAGAAACACTGCAAGCAATCACAGTGCTCTGCCAACTTTCTGAGTTTCTCTAAAACCTGGTCTTGAAAAAGACTGCCAAAAACTTTGTGATCCACAGCCCAATTATTTCCTGAGCCAGAAATATCAGTGATGAGCTGTTTGGTATCAAATACATCTCTCACTGGTCCCTGAAGAATTTCACTCACTATCCCTTCTTCCATGCCAATCAAGATGGCTGGTATCCACATTTCTAAAGAAGCTGCTTATTGCCTCATAATAAATTCCTTTCTGGCTGACCGCAGCATGCTCCCTTAGCACCAGGTCCCAGAAGCAGCAGCTGATCTGGTTTTCGCATTGGCCAACCAATATGACCACCAACTGGGTTATGCTGGTGCACAGCCAGCTGGGGGCGCTTGTGAGCCACACTGGCCTCTGCATTCTGCCTGCAACCCAAAAGGCCTGTATTGTTCATTGTTGTTGTTGCTGTTGTTGTTTGAGACTGAGTCTTGCTCTGTCACCCAGGGTGGAGTGCAGTGGCACGATCTCAGCTCACTGCAACCTCCGCCTCCCAGGTTTAAGCAATTCTCCTGTCTGAGCCTCCCCAGTAGCTGAGATTACAGGCGCACATCACCATGCCTGGCTAATTTTTGTATTTTTAGTAGAGATGGAGTTTCTCCATGTTGGTCAGGCTGGTCTCGAACTCCTCACCTCAGGTGATCCACCTGCCTCAGCCTCCCAAAGTGCTGGGATTATAGGCATCAGCCACCGCGCCCAGCCAAAAAAAGGCCTGTTTTTTTAATGAGTACTGCTGCATATCCACTGTTGAGAACCAATTCCTCAAACCACCTATTTTATTTGTAAGTGAATAAAGGTTTGTTTCTCTTTTGCATATATTTCTTATGGTTGGCGTATATGAGGTAAAAGGACAATTCTCCAAGTGCCCATGGAGCAAGAACCATGTCTAATTTCTCTGTTCTTTGTAATACTCTGTACTGTTGCAGATATTTTCAATAACAATGCAAATATTCCACCACTTAATTACCCCATCAATAAAACAGACAGACACAAAAAAACTTGATTATTCAGAGTTTTATGCCACAAAAAGAAGGCTGTCTATTTTGCCACAAATAAATGCAGAAAAGAAACAGCATTACTTAAACAAACTCAGGCTCCTGTTAGACGGAAAGGCTTGCTTACCAGGTTCATTTCCTGAGTCAATTCAGAAAGGATTATTACTCCTATTACGCAGTGTTCCACAGTACCCTTTGGAGAAAATAGCAAAGTTTAGTCTAAGTGGAGACAAATGATTGGTTCTTAATGTGTGCACCAAGTAATATTTACAAATAATTAAAGACTAAAACACCACATTTACTTAATCACAAAATTGAAATAAAATTTTAAAATATAAAGAAAAATCACTATGATTTCTATAAACAAAATAATTTCAAACCTATTTTTTGAAGGATAAATTTAGGTACACAGAGCTAAATGGGAAAAAGCTCCTACCTTATAAATGCAAGATATTCAACAAAATGGTTCCAGCACTTAGGACAAACAATAAACTAAGTTTCAAAATACAAGAATTTAGCTTAATACTTTTTATAAGACCAAGATTTAAAATAAGCAAGAAATGCTTTTAGCTGTATAATTTGCTTAGAGCCTACTGAGATAGAGGCACTCAATAAACAAATAATAAATAGCTCAGTAACTAATTCAAATCTCTTGTTCTAACATCAGATAGGATCACTTAGGCTCTTTTAACATTAATTGTGCATGTGTATGCAATTGTTACATACCTATAATGATGGCATGTAAAGTACACAATGCAATGGGATAAATACATGACTACACAATGTTTTTAATTTAATCAGCTTCCAATTTAACCTCACATTTTCCATCATTAAAATTCAGACTTTATATGCACATTACTAACAAACTACCCTTATGTGAAATCATACTGGAATTATGAAAATCATAAATGTGGCATCCAATTACATTGCAATCATTTTTAAAAACTGACACAGATGATAGATACACTTTTCAAATCTTAATTTTATAGTTGGTCATCCCTTTTAACTATCACAGAATTCCATTATCACTGGATGTAATTAAATTCAAATTACCTCAGAACAAAAAAAAGTCCCACAATTTTTGCATCTTAATTATTTATGGCCTTTCAGGACAGTCTGAGTGTCTGAACTGAGCTCCAGATTTGCTACACACTGAAACATCCATCCTATGTGTATACCAGGTTCGTGTTCCCCAAAGTGTGGTAACCTGACCAATTGCTAAAACCAGCTGACTGATGATCTACAAACTCAGTTCTAATCTGAAAATAGTTACTGGTCTGTGACACAATAAAGAGCATGTAACAGACTATAAAACAGCTAAGTCACAAAGTACACTGTTTAGGTTAGCTGGCTTTTTTTTTCATAGCAAGTCTTTCTCAATGAAGAAGGCACTATGTTCATTTACAGTCTTACATAAGCTCCTTATCTTGCTGAAGACCAGTAATTTGAATAGCACTGCCCTAGATGACAGTAGGGTCTCCTGAGTATATAAGTAGAAAGGAGACACATAAGTATGTTTGGAGTGTGGCAGCAAGAGGGCTGTAATAATAGAAAAAAGAGAACGCACAAAAGTTCAGGCTGTTAAAGATGTGACAAACTTAAAATAATTTTTAGGACAAAATTCACAAAAGCTACTAATATCCAAAGGAACCATACGGTAATATTCTAGAATACTAAAACACTAAAGCCAAAATTGACTTTCTCATGATGCAGGGTCAGGGTTGGGTCAAGAAAGATATATATATATATCTATCTCCAGAGAGATATATATATATCTAGAAAACAAGTACTAACTATTCTGTGGTGATACTATTATATAATAAACTTTCAAGCTAAAACATCTTGCTTCTTTTGGTCTTCCAGAACTGGCAAAAGTACATTGAATCCCAACTTAAGTTGAGCTTACTGGCCACTAAAGAGGGAGCTTGAAATATGTTAGCCAACAAGAATTTCATTCAGTTTCAATCTTGATTTTATTTTAAAAGAACTGCATGGTCGCTTCTTGTCTACTCAAATAAGTTTTGATGAACAATCTTAGTAAAAGACAAAAGGGGTATGCTACTGTGCTTGCCAAAATTAGAAATGCAACTCTGAAGTGTGAAGTTCATACTTGTCCTGAATAAACTACCCTTCTGCCCTAGTATAAACTGACCTCCTCAGAGCTGGGAACACTTATTCCTGTAAAGTTCTAAACGATCAAATATTTGTTAACCAGGTTTTAACAACATGGATAAGACAGAAGCAGCATAACCTAGCATTTCATATTCTGAGGTTTCCAGCAGTGCACTATATGATGAATTTATTTCTTACACAGGGGTTGAATTTTAAAGTTACTGCATAAAAGTAAAATCTCCGAAAGTCAAAATTGCCCATACTCAACCATGAACCAAAATTGAACCACCTCCCTATTAATCAAAACTGTCAATTTTTCCTCAAGAATACTAACAGATCATGTTCCTTGTTTTTTGTTTTTTTTTTTTTTTTTTTGAGACGGAATCTCGCTTTGTCGCCCAGGTTGGAGTGCAGTGGTGCAATCTCCACTCACTGCAAGCTCCACCTACCGGGTTCACGCTGTTCTCCTGCCTCAGCCTCCCAAGTAGCTGGGACTACAGGCGCCTGCCACCACACCCAGCTAATTTTTTGTGTTTTTAGTAGAGACAGGATTTCACCATGTTAGCCAGGACGGTCTCGATCTCCTGACCTCGTGATCCACCCGCCTCAGCCTCCCAAAGTGCTGGGATTATAGATGTGAGCCACCATGCCCAGCCCAGGTCATTTCTTTAGCTGGACATCAGATAAAATAGTTTTCTTGTACTTGGGAATTACGTTTGTATGAAAAAATATATACATATATCTTCAAATATCTGAATCATACTGAGCAAGGCATGACACTTACCCTAAGTAAGAGTAAACAGGAAACAAGAGCAGATTCAGGTTTCCCTAAATCATCTCAGGACATGGAATCACTGGCATAATTTAGTTTAATGCTTTCCTACCTTTATTTATTTTTTCTTTTTTTTTTTTGGCAGTCCATATATCTGAATTTATGCAAGTTAAATGTGCATATGCTATGACTTCATTTTAATCACTTAGGTTAAAAATACTGTTTTTAAAATAACCATTCTTTATTGATATGTAATAGCTGTACCTATTTGACACCTATACACAACGTGTAATGATCAAATTGAAAACATTCTTGAGAAACTAATATAGTCAATGTGGTATAGCGTAAAAATTTTAAAATGTATCATAGGTTGGAGGCTTGTTAAAAGCGCTAGCTGTATGCTTTAATCAGTCACCACCATGCAATCTTACAGAAATTTAACCCTTCTAAGCCTGTTTTCTTATTTACAAAATAAAATCCATTTCATTTTAGGTTGTGACGAACATTTAATTACATAATCTATGAAAAGCATTATATACATATTTTATATATATACAGTACATAGACATACATGTCATAAATGAACATACATTTTGGAATTAGAAAACATGATTATTTACATTCTTCTGGTTTGGAAATTGTATAACAGCAGGACCCTCATTTACTGACAATAAATGACAAAGGATCCAGAGGATAAATAATAAATCTTAATTAACATGGTACTAGTGGTTATAAAACAAACCATATGGCTTTAAGCAGAGCAGTATTCTAAACCAAAAAAGCAAGTAGTGATGTTCTAACAATGTAGCAACGACTTCTTACCTGGAGAAACTTCTTCACATCAGCAATAATTTCTCTGAAGACAAATTGCTCTTTCTGAACCTCAAACCACCCCAACTTAGTGATTTTAGCAATGACTTGAATAAGAGCTTGGATGACAAAGGGGGCCAGCTTGGGTTGTGATGCCACATAATTCAGAATGTAGTTTCCTACAAAGAAAACACTCCATGATCATTTGGACTTCTCAGAAACAACACAGTGTGAATCATATGAAGAAAGAGAGGTGGGGATGGGGGGAACGGGAGGGAGAACATCAAGACAAATACCTAATACATGCAGGGCTTAAAACCTAGATGACAGGTTGATAGGTACAGCAAAACACTATGGCACATATATACCTATGTAACAAACCTCCATGTTCAGCAAATGTATCCCAGAACTTAAAGTAAAAAAAAAAAAAAAAAGGAATTTTGTCAACTTTAAACAAAAAAGTTGCAGTATTTGTGGGGGAAAAAAAAAAACAGAAAAAGAGGTGGCAATGACATGCTGTGACAAAAAGTTAATAGCTCTACTCAAGATATATATTTATTTATATAGTTATTTTATTAGGCTTGTTTTGGAAAAGCAAATTTGTTCCAATGCATTTGATATATTAGGGAAAAACCTGAATAGAACACTTTTGTTATATACATCACTTTTGTTTCTGCATGATTTTATCTACCAAAAAATGCTAGCTGAATGCAGAAAACTGAAACCAGGCTGATATGGTTTGGATTTGTGTCCCTGCCCAAGTCTCATGTCCCCAGTGTTGGAGGAGGGACCTGTTGTTGGGAGATGACTGGATTATGGGGGCAGATTACCATCTTGATGTTCTCATGACAGTAATTTTCACTAGATCTTCTTGTTTAAAGTGTGTAGCACTTCCCCCTTCTCTCTTCCTCCTGCTCCAGCCATGTAAAACATGCCAGCTTCCCCTTCACCTACTGCCATGATTGGAAGTTTCCTGAGGCCTCCCCAGCCAGGCTACCTGTACAGCTTAAGAACCATGAGCCAATTAAACTTCTTTTCTTTATAAATCACCCAGTCTCAGATATTTCTTTATAGCATTGTGAGAATCGACTAATATAGAGGCCAAATTGAACTAAGCTACCAACAAAATGCATACACCTCAAACATCTACTATGTATCATCAACCCCATCCATCCTTATCTGGTACTATATTTTTCCATACTATTTCAGATCATCTTTCTTTCACCACTTTACAATAACTCACAAGCTGCAACCCTTCTGAGGCCCACTTCTATGAACAAACTTCAGGTCTTTCCCAAGATAGAGTGTCATATTTATTGTACTATGTTTTTCTTAACCATTTAACATGTGTAAAACTCTACTAAATTTTGATTTGATTTCTACCTTTTTAAAAATATGTCACTGACAAGACTTTTAAATTTTATTTTCATAATCTAATTTCTCTCATAAGTCCTGTGCTTTTTATTGCAGCACTACATAGCACAGTCACTTTTAGGAACATGTCATATTACAGCAAAAGTGACTATACACTGTATTCTTGAGGTAGCATTAAAAATACAAATAAACCCCGTCTCTACAAAAAATTGTTAAAACACTAGCTGGGTATTGTGACATGCACCTACAGTCCTAGCTACTCGGGATGCTGAGAATGACGGTGCCACTGCACTTCAGCCTGGGGGAGACTGAGATGCTGTCCCAAAAAAAAAACACAAATAGTACAATATGATAAAATAAATAACATTAATTCAAGAAAGCATGAGTAGAATAGGAAAGTCAAGCTTGTAATAAAGGTAACACACCACAACTGCTAAATGTGGGTAGTAAATTCAGTTATGAGTGTTCTAGTTGACTAATGAAGTCAGATAACAAATACACCAAGAAGTCTCTCAGAAAATTACAAGAAGGATTTTTAAAAGAGAAAAAACTCCATTTCCACTTTGGCCTGAAAGGCCAGCATGCCATTTGGGAAAAGGGTAAAGAAAAGGTAAATACCTCAATATTTAATTAAAAACAGCCTTGATGGAAACAACTCCAAAATCCAAGAATGTATTCAACAAGCATTCTTGATAATTGTAGTAAGATTCTTGATATTTAAAAAAGTTCTTGTAACTATTATACTTCAACCTTAATTTTTATTAATATTAAAATATTGCTATACAATTAAAAAAATAAAATATATTTTGAAAAAAAGCATAATTTCCTTAGCATTAGGACAGATTTCAGAGAGGTTTCTCCTATGAATCACAGTAAATGGTTCTAAGCTTTGTCGCATGTAATCTTTTGTTTCAAAAACAAAACTTAAGATGACACTGCTTCCTGAACATAAAAGAAAATCCAGTGTATTTACTTCAATTACACTTTTATTTTTAATATCTTGAAAACGTTCATCTTGGAGTGGGTACAGGCAAACCATATATGGGTAGTGGTAACCACTAGGAAGAGGGCAAACTCAAAATAATAATAAAACAAACAAATGGGAGACAACCCAAACTTCACACTGGCAGCTAGATACCAACAAGGACACGCTCCCAGACTGCCCAAAGGTACCCGGGGCCAATAAATTCATTATCTAAAGTAGAAAAAATAATTCACTAGAATATGTTTCTGTTACTTCAGCTGAATGTTTTAGACAAAATATTCTCATGTTATGCTTTTTATACAAACTATAAGATTGTTCCAATTCAGTAAGCACCAATAATTACAATCATTTAAAACATCAGCAGGGAGCAAGATGGCCGAATAGAACAGCTCCAGTCTCCGGCTCTCAGCATGAGCGACACAGAAGACAGGTGATTTCTGCATTATCAACTGAGGTACTGGGTTCATCACACTGGGGAGTGCCGCACAATCGGTGCTGGTCAGCTGTTGCAGCCCGTCCAGCGAGAGCTGAAGCAGGGCGAGGCACTGCCTCACCTGGGAAGCGCAAGGGGGAAGGGAATCCCTTTTCCTAGCCAGGGGAACTGAGACACACAACACCTAGAAAATCGGGTAACTCCCACCCCAATACTGCGCTTTAAGCAAATGGGCACACCAAAAGATTATATCCCACACCTGGCCGGGAGGGTCCCACGCCCACGGAGCCTTCCTCATTGCTAGCACAGCAGTCTGGGATCTAACAGCAAGGCAGCAGCGAGGCTGGGGGAGGGGCGCCCGCCACTGCTGAGGCTTAAGTAGGTAAACAAAGCCCTGGGAAGATCAAACTGGGTGGAGCGCGCAGCACCTAAGGAGGCCTGCCAGTCTCCGTAGACTCCACCTCTGGGGACAGGGCACAGCTAAACAACAACAACAAAAAGCAGCAGAAACCTCTGCAGATGCACGTGACTCTGTCTGACAGCTATGAAGAGAGCAGTGGATCTCCCAACACGGAGGTTGAGATCTGAGAACGGACAGACTGCCTGCTCAAGTGGGTCCCTGACCCTTGAGTAGCCTAACTGGGAGACATCCCCCACTAGGGGCAGACCTACACCCCACACCTCACACGGTGGAGTACACCCCTGAGAGGAAGCTTCCAAAGCAAGAATCAGACAGGTACACTCGCTGTTCAGCAGTATTCTATCTTCTGCAGCCTCTGCTGCTGACACCCAGGCAAACAGGGTCTGGAGGGGACCTCAAGCAATCTCCAACAGACCTACAGCTGAGGGTCCTGACTGTTAGAAGGAAAACAAACAGGAAGGACACCCACACCAAAAACCCATCAGTACATCACCAGCATCAAAGACCAGAGGCAGATAAAACTACAAAGATGGGGAAAAAGCAGGGCAGAAAAGCTGGAAATTCAAAAAATAAGAGCGCATCTCCCCGTCCAAAGGAACGCAGCTCATCACCAGCAACGGATCAAAGCTTGACGGAGAATGACTTTGACGAGATGAGAGAAGAAGGCTTCAGTCCATCAAACTTCTCAGAGCTAAAGGAGGAATTACGTACCCAGCGCAAAGAAACTAAAAATCTTGAAAAAAGAGTGGAAGAATTGATAACTAGAATAATTAATGCAGAGAAGGCCATAAACGAACAGAGAGAGATGAAAACCATGACACGAGAAATACGTGACAAATGCACAAGCTTCAGTAACCGACTCGATCAACTGGAAGAAAGAGTATCAGCGATTGAGGATCAAATGAATGAAATGAAGCGATAAGAGAAATCTAAAGAAAAAAGAAGAAAAAGAAATGAACAAAGCCTGCAAGATGTATGGGATTATGTAAAAAGACCAAATCTACGTCTGATTGGGGTGCCTGAAAGTGAGGGGGAAAATGGAACCAAGTTGGAAAACACTCTTCAGGATATCATACAGGAGAACTTCCCCAACCTAGTAGGGCAGGCCAACATTCAAATTCAGGAAATACAGAGAACGCCACCAAGATACTCCTCGAGAACAGCAACTCCAAGACACATAATTGCCAGATTCACCAAAGTTGAAATGAAGGAAAAAATCTTAAGGGCAGCCAGAGAGAAAGGTCGGGTTACCCACAAAGGGAAGCCCATCAGGCTAACAGCAGATCTCTCGGCAGAAACTCTACAAGCCAGAAGAGAGTGGGGGCCGATATTCAACATTCTTAAAAAGAATTTTAAACCCAGAATTTCATATCCAGCCAAACTAAGTTTCATAAGTGAAGGAGAAATAAAATCCTTTACAGATAAGCAAATGCTTAGAGATTTTGTCACCACCAGGCCTGCCTGCCTTACAAGAGACCCTGAAGGAAGCACTAAACATGGAAAGGAACAACCGGTACCAGCCATCGCAAAAACATGCCAAAATGTAAAGACCATCGAGGCTAGGAAGAAACTGCATCAACTAACGAGCAAAATAACCAGTTAATATCATAATGGCAGGATCAAGTTCACACATAACACTATTAACCTTAAATGTAAATGGACTAAATGCTCCAATTAAAAGACACGGACTGGCAAACTGGATAAAGAGTCAAGATCCATCAGTCTGTTGTATTCAGGAGACCCATCTCACACGCAGAGACGTACATAGGCTCAAAATAAAGGGATGGAGGAAGATCTACCAAGCAAATGGAGAACAGAAAAAAGCAGGGGTTGCAATACTAGTCTCTGATAAAACAGACTTTAAACCATCAAAGATCAAAAAAGACAAAGAAGGCCATTACATAATGGTAAAGGGATCAATTCAACAGGAAGAGCTAACTATCCTAAATATATATGCACCCAATAC